ATTAACGCTGAATACCCCTTTTCCCCTACTCATTTTTACAATGCAATTTGAAAATGCTATGGCTTATGAAAATATTATTTTTATAAATTAATAATGAAATTATTTATTGTGTTATTGAAATTGAATGTCTGACCAGTTTAATTAAATACGAGGCGATTAATAGCTTTTTACACTCTGTATGCATTTCTAAAGCTTCAAACAAGATGAACTACTTGTCAACTGAATCACCTGAGCAATCAACGTGTACTCTGAAGAACTCTTCAGCGGAATTCGGTTCGTAATTTAAGGATTAATTACCTTGCACTTATTTTTATTTAAAGTGTTCACAAGATTTTAGTGAACATTTATAAACCACATTTAAGATGACGTTTCTACAGTTGTTAGGGGGACGTTTAAATTGTTGCGCTGATAATGTAGATTTATACCATTGGCAAAATATGAAATTGAACATCAAAACAGATTTAGCGGTTTCTTATTTGAACATTGTTAAGATTAAAAATAGGGTAACGTTTCTGTTTGTTTGAGTATTGTGAAAAACGGATTTAAGCTTATCTGGAACAAAATAAGATTATATTCCAAATTGAACAAACTCCGCAGAGCAAATTAACCAAAATAGTCTTTTCTTTCATATTCAAAGTTTTTGGTTCTTACTAGTCTTGGCAATTATTTGAAATAAAAAATATCAGTTTAAAATAAGTTCTTTAAGAAGAAGACAATGTAATTAGAAATGTCTAATCAATTTATTCATTAGATCCAAATTGTACCCTTAAAACGAATTTTATAGAAGGTTTTCCACGTCGTCTGACTAAAACATTGGATATCTAGGAATGACTGATGGAATAATTACGAGCAAACACAAAATCACCGACAAAAAGCACGTCACTCTATTTTTGCCGGTTCATCGGTTTTGATCTTCATTATCATTGCATTTCGCTGATTTCATTCGTTTCTCCCTTTAATAGTTTCCCAGACAATTCACCACCCGATTGTGGATGAGGTGCGGTCCTGAAGGACAGTAGAAAGTTTCGAAAACTTCTTCAATCTCTCTCCCCCTTTCTCGCACTTTTAGTTTCAACAGGACACCAATGGACGTGCCAACAAATCACTCTGCCCATACGCATGATTATGACCGATATTGGGCAAACGGATGTGATCAACAATTCGTTGCCCTTACTTATCTTCGAATTGAGTCGAACAGAACTGTATTCTATTATCAAACACCAGAGTCTCTGAGAGAACGTGAGACGATGTCGCATATATTGACGGCATTGATATTACTTCCGGTCACTTCTTGTGTAAGTCCACTAGTAAAATGCGTCAATATCAATTTATGCTCTTCTTCATAATGCCTTAGGTAGGGACAAAGGCATAAGCTTTTCAATTCAAGACTTTCAAGCAGTAATTTGTTATCTGAGGGATTTTTGACAACCGGTTGTGGGTCTCTGTCTTTCCATTCGATTAGTCCATGGATAACTGGATCTCAATATTTGAAGTACCATTCGCTCAAATACAGCCAGTATATCAGTTCTTTGTTAAAACATCAAACAATAGTGAATAATAGTCAATGTCTTATGGCATTGGAATATATCCAACAAATGCCCATTCCATTTTCATTAATTTCATGCCTTTCTGTTGTTTCAGTTTTTTGTTAATGCGAGATTCATTTGCTCTGTCTTTTTTCGCGAGAGCAATATTCCGGATAAAAATAGTAGTATATAGTTAGTAGCCTTTCGATACTTGATTTCGGAAGATTTTTGAAGACGACTAGCAGAACATGCTGGAAGGTCTACTTTGAATCGAAAACAATTGTTACCAGTCAAAATATAAAGCTTATGAAACTTTACCCATCATATTAAATAAAGGTGAAGGAACATTTCATTAAGGAATGGATGTAACTCTCTTCCACCTAAGAGTATTCAGATGAGTCATTTAATGAATAGTTGACATTGAAATTAGGAGAAAAATTCGACACACTCTTTTACGTCAGAAATTTTGAAATCAGAGCTTCTGTCAAATAGAAGTGTATTACTTGTCCCTTCTGAAAAAACGACGCATTGTTAATAGTTTTGATTTCTGCAGTTTTGGCCGCTCTGTTAACTAAGAGGTTGGATCGGTAATAATAACCAAGTAGTTATATTAAAATGGAATGCTCGTTACAATTAGTTAGAAGTAGTTAAAACACCTTCAGATCAATTATGAGAGTCGATTAGAAGATGAACTATTCAGATTCATAAATCCTCTCATCCATTGGTATGAGTGGGGTATTGTTAAGGACAGTGATGTCATTAATGAAATTACGAATTTGCCACGACTTGGCTAGACTCGAGAGACGTTATAGAATATTTTCTTTTAAATGATCTGTATCCAACCGTTGTTGCAAAGGTCAACATCTTCGTCTAATATACCAGAGGGAACGAGATCGATGGACATCAGCGAGCAGCCAGGAAAAATGATCCAAATAATTAAGTTTCAAAGTACAGGCTAGCGCTTACTCCTGCTCGCATAGTGGTTCAGAAATAAGTAACCAATCGTAAAGTCTGTGATCATCTAAGACCCCACATCTCAGAAAGCTACAATTTGGCACACCTAATCTACCACAGAGGAAGGCGCATGATGAGAGAACAAGTGAATATGGGTTATTTGGTTATTGCTAAAAGGTTTGCTTACGCAAGGAAATTTAAAGAAAACCAAACTAGATCGAGATCAATGAGGGAAAGGTAACGAAATTCAGAATTGATAGGCAGTGATGATTCTGTCAACCTGGAATACCAACACAAGTGTCCTTGACGCTTTTCTAAAATCAATTTTTTTGTAATGAGATTAAAGTAATTTTAAATTCTATTATTTATTTTTTTATGTTGCTCATACCCCTTAAAAGTGGGAAATTTAGGTTTTATATTGTTTTTTTGTGAGAACGTTAAGCTTCTAATTGGATTTGATTAGCTCAAGACGTGTTCGCATATGCATAAATTTTCATTTTGTAAACAAATAGTTGGGTTCAGTTTGTGCTTTGCCACACTGGAGGAAACTAGTCTGTAGGATAATTTATTCTCTGTCCACAACTCATTCAACACCACTTGTGAATGAGTAAAATATTTCCTTCAATTTTAACGTTTAATACGTCTCACTCTTAAGTTGACTGAGAACACATCAAACATCCCTTTCAACTCTTCCATCAACCCTATTTGAAGGCCTCCAAGGATAATAAAGTCATTTCTGAAATTTGTGGCCCAGTGATTGCACTCCACTCACGTCAACCTAGGTTTATAAGATTTCAATCTACAAATTTCAATGAGGACATATTAAAACCCCTGATTCAATCAGATCCTCGGTTAACTACAGAAGAAATAGCACACAAGCATACATCTCTGTGGCCAATTGTGCAGGCACACTTGAGGAGCATCAGTAAATTGAATAGGATGGGAACTTGAGTGCGGCCGCATCAACTCTCCCAGTAAAACAAATGATGAATGCAACAACACGTGTCTCTCTTTGTTGTCATGACTAAAAACAATTTGTCCTTTCTTACACCAAATTCTTACTGACACTGAAACGTGGTTCGTTGAGACAACGTTAACGGGAACAGTAATGATTGTCCCCAAGTTAAAAANCCACTCCATTCGCAAACTTCTTCCATGCATTTCGTGGGATGAACGTAGAATAATTTGTTGCAAATTGTTAAAGGTGGGAGAAACAGTTACAGTCGAAGTCCATCGCTGTCAACAAAAGGGAAGACTTGACGTAAATGACCAATTTTAATCAATAGATAAGGATTATTCCTCAGCATGGCAATCACCGAATTCGAAAATCAATAATGACCTCCAAAAAACGCAATAATTAAATGGACGGGCACGATCACACCCCCCCCCCTCATTTACCAGACCTTGCCCAGCCCCAAGATTACCTTTTCTCGGCCATGGAACACGTTCTAATTAAAATACGTCTTCAAAATACGACTGAAGACGAAAACTACTTCAACAAATAACTTGATTCAAAACAGAAGGTTAGATATTATGAAATCGGATTTGAAAACTTTTAAACCAATTTAAATAACATTTTAGATTTGTTTAAAAAGGCACAATTTCTTATTGGCACGAATAATAGTAATATTTGAATACCCTTTAGTGAAAGATTTTATTACCCACAATCAAAGGAGTTTGAGCTAAATTTCATCATGATTTCTGCCAAAAAACACGTTACCGCCAATTTAAAGTCATGTGTGTGCGCGTGTTAGTGATTAATTCAAAAATAGATAAACTAAAGAACATGCTACTTTAACTTTAATAAAAAGATTTGATTCACTTAAATTTGTTAGTTTCTAAATGTTAGTACTTCAGCAGAAGGATTTATGTCCTATTTCACTTTAGTGAAAACTTTATATAATTTTAAATAACTTTACCAGCCTCGTAACACGTGTAGAGGTGCTTCGGAGATGCCATTTGTAAAGTTATTAGTCGAATACTCTTGATGTTTATTGAAATGAACCAGAGTGTTTGATCATCCAAATCACGGGGTATTCACTACCGGGGATCGATCAAATGACCTCCAACCTCACAGACTTACACCTTGATTCCTGTGTAGCGGATTGCTGCTTTATTAAAGCCTGACTGACTCAGAAATCTCTATGGCAGATCCTCCTACATCTAGCTAGACTCCCAGAACCAACTAAGCTATAGCCCAGCTATAAAGGAAAGAGACGTGTAGCAAGGAGCACGCTTATTCAGTACGGGTATTACGGATAAAGCGTACACGCAGGGAGCTACTCATGATCAGGATGGGGGATTAGGTTAAACAGAGGTTAATGATTGGTCACTGTTAGTACGGTCGCTGCACACAGAGTTGTACGGCAGCACCTCCCAATCCTGGCGAGCAGACATGTAGGCATACGATGACGCACAGAGTGATAACGTGTCCCACAATACTCCCCCCCCCTCTAGAGCGTTTGCAGGGAGCTGAAAGGTAAAGAAAACGCTCGATAAATAGTTAATGTACAAAATCAACTAGTTGGGAGGGGAAGGTAGATCTTCGGCCTCAGAGTAACAGGGTTTTGGGTAGAGGTGGGGCAGGTGTTGGAACTGCTGAGACGGGATTGTTGGAGTGAGAGGCAGTAGGATTGTGGATTTCGTGCATGCTTGTGGACCTTGCCGGCTGAGCGAGTGAGGCAGTGTTTGGTCCACTGATGAGCATCCTGTTGGATGCTCCACCAT